AAAAAAAAAAAAAAAAGCCCTTTTTCCCCTCCTAGCGCTGCTGGGCCTGCAGGTCTCTGTTGAGCCGCGGGCGCAGGTCTCTGTTCCTTAGGATGGGGTTTGTTAAAGTTGTTAAGAATAAGGCCTACTTTAAGAGATACCACGTGAAATTTAGAAGACGACGAGAGGGTAAAACTGATTACTATGCTCGGAAACGCGTGGTGATACAGGATAAAAATAAATACAACACACCCAAATACAAGATGATAGTTCGTGTAACAAACAGAGATATCATTTGTCAGATTGCTTATGCTCGTATAGAGGGGGATATGATAGTCTGCGCAGCATATGCACACGAACTGCCAAAATACGGCGTGAAGGTTGGCCTGACAAATTATGCTGCAGCATACTGTACTGGCCTGCTGCTGGCCCGCAGGCTTCTCAATAGGTTTGGCATGGACAAGATCTATGAAGGCCAAGTGGAGGTGACTGGTGATGAATATAATGTGGAAAGCATTGATGATCAGCCAGGTGCCTTTACCTGCTATTTGGATGCAGGCCTTGCCAGAACTACCACTGGCAATAAAGTTTTTGGTGCTCTGAAGGGAGCTGTGGATGGAGGCTTGTCTATCCCTCATAGTACCAAGCGATTCCCTGGTTATGATTCTGAAAGCAAGGAATTTAATGCAGAAGTACACCGGAAGCACATCATGGGCCAGAATGTTGCAGATTACATGCGCTACTTAATGGAAGAAGATGAAGATGCTTACAAGAAACAGTTCTCTCAATACATAAAGAACAGCGTAACTCCAGACATGATGGAGGAGATGTATAAGAAAGCTCATGCTGCTATACGAGAGAATCCAGTCTATGAAAAGAAGCCCAAGAAAGAAGTTAAGAAGAAGAGGTGGAACCGCCCCAAAATGTCCCTTGCTCAGAAGAAAGATCGGGTAGCTCAAAAGAAGGCAAGCTTCCTCAGAGCTCAGGAGCGGGCTGCTGAGAGCTAAACCAAATAATTTTCTATCAGGATTTTTCAGATAAAGACAATAAACTTATGGACAGCAATTAAAAAAAAAAAAAGATTAGATACCCCTCACAGATTAAGATATATTAAAATAAAATGTGTTTCACATAATAATGAAAACCGGACAAGTAATAAATTAAAAATATTTTAACACAGATGGGAAATACAATATTAATATATGAGCTCTTCCAACATACAGCCCAAAATAAAAAGAAAACAACTCACAGAGGAGCAAAACCAGGTAACCTACAAAATTGTGAAAAGGTGTCTAAACTCCCCATAATTAGAAAAATGGAAAATAAAGTACAATGAGGTTTAAACTCATCAGTCTAGTAATAATATCAGTGTGAGGATATCCATTTTGGTATGGCTGCTGAAGGAAAACGATGTCCTCATTGCTGGTGGAAATAATTATTACAATCTTTTTTGGAAAACAATTGGGCAACATTTATTTTGTTATCATTATTCGTTTGTTTAGACATACGGTCTCACTCTATTGCCTGGGCTGGAGTGCAGTGGTATAATCATAGCTCACTACAGCCTTGACCTCCTGGGCTCAAGTGATCCTCCCTCCTCAGCCTCCCACGTAGCTGGGATTACAGGCATGTGCCACAATGCCTGGCTATGGGCAACATTTATTGAAATTAAATATACATATCGCTTTGACTCAGAATTTACACTTCAGAAAATCCCTCTTATAACAATAAAAGTCCCAGTATACAGGGACACATGAGCAAAGGAGTTAATCTGAGCATTATTCAAAGTAGCAGAAAACTGGAAACAAAGTAAATCATATACATGCATACGATAAATGAAGTAGAACTGTATTTCCTTGTGAAAATGAAAAATTTTGGAAAAAGATGTATAATATGACTCTGTTGTTCTGAAAAAATATAGGCCCCAAAAATCTATGTATGTAGATTTTTTTGGTACATATATATGCTTAGATAGGATTATATGAGCATGGATTTTAAAAATACTTGAAGATACATGCTAATTTTATAGCATGGGTTACGGCAGGGGTGGGACAGCAGGAAAGGAGATGGGGAGGGAAGAGGTTTACCAAAAGGAAGGAGTTTGCGCGCGCGCGTGCACAGGTACACGCACACCCACCCACCAGCTTCTATGCTATAATCCCATCTATTCATCAATGCAGTGCTCACTTGACTATAACTTAGGCTTTAGATTGATGAAGGTCAATTGCTTATCCGAGCAAACACTAGGAAGGACTTAAATTGTTGTTAACTACCTGATGCCAGCTGCCTCCCAGAGGTAGATGGCATCCATGTAGGCAGGTGAAGCTTCTCAATGCTCATGAAATGATACCAGTTTGGCTGTGTATTTGTTGGATCTCCAAAGTTTATGGCTCTGCAATCAACCAGACTCACTCTGTCTCTACTTTTTAGATTCTTGTCAGAGAAAATAACCTCAAACTCCCCATTAGCCACATGGGCAAAAAGCTATGCCAGTTGGCCGTCTTCAAATAGGAGAATGGCTTCATTATAGTTGCTCTTAGCTAATATTTTAATAATGATAGTTTAACTTAGGTTTTCTTCTAATTGATAGGTCTGGCAAACCTATCTGGGCAAAGGAAAGGAAGAAACCATTTGTTTTACAGCAAAGTAGACTTGAGGAAGCTGTTGAACCTGCTTGCAGCCTGAAGGTTTTAAATAAAGAATAGCCTTGCTGTAGCTACTAAGGAATTACTCTTCTTTAATCATGGACTTTACTACCCTTGCAGACCATTTTCAGCCTCTGTTCAACCACATTGTAAGCACAGGGACCTGAACCAATGAAGAAAATCATTTTCAAAAGTTGGAAGTTTCCATTCTTAGTGCAGGTCATTGGGTGTCTCCCAAGGCTGCCCAAGGTTCCAAAGTAGTGCACAAGCCGGGGGAGGAGTTCATGGCTTCCTGATTTCTATCACTTAGCCCTTACTATGGACCTAAACTTCACAGCTATGCTAGTGAGACAGAGAAAACAGGCAACTAAGTCTAGTGCCAGCCCTGCGGTGCACACTCTGACTTGAGGCAAGTCACTTTTGCTCTCTGCAGCACAATATTTTCTATGTACACTCCAATATAGGATCTCAGGGAACCCTTTTCTTTTTTTTTTTTTTTTTTTTTTTGAGTCGGAGTTTCGCTCTTGTTACCCAGGCTGGAGTGCAATGGCGCGATCTCGGCTCACCGCAACCTCCGCCTCCTGGGTTCAGGCAATTCTCCTGCCTCAGCCTCCTGAGTAGCTGGGATTACAGGCACGCATCACCATGCCCAGCTAATTTTTTGTATTTTTATTAGAGACGGGGTTTCACCATTTTGACCAGGATGGTCTCGATCTCTTGACCTCGTGATCCACCCGCCTCGGCCTCCCAAAGTGCTGGGATTACAGGCGTGAGCCACCACGCCCAGCCAGGGAACCATTTTCTTTTGTTTAATAGTACTTACACAAATTTGTAATTATATGCTTATGTGTATGATTGTTTAATTGCCTGTCTTCTCCACTAAAGCATAATCTCTTTACAGATAGGGACAGTATACTGTTTCCCTAACACCTAACATGATGGCTGGCACATACTCAAATTCGATAAAAATTTATCAATTTAATGAGTAAATAAATATATAAAATGAGTAAGATGACTTCAGAGTATCCTACCAGCTCTAATAGCATATGATTCTCTAAATGCAAAAATCTTTTATTTTTAAAATTAGGTCATAAGTATTTCTTTGCCCAAACATCATTGAGTAGATTAAGTGCCTAAGTGAGCATGGCTCTGCTCTACACAGTTACTCTGGGAAAAAAACCCAAAAAACTGAACCTATTAAACATAGTTTCTGCTATGTTTTGTCTGGTTCCACCAAGTGTCATTTTGAAAGCTGACTTCCAATGTTGGAGGTGGGGCCTGGTATGAGGTGCTGGATAATGGGGTTGAATCCATCATGAATGGCTTGGTGCCATCCTCACAGTAAACAGCGAGTTCCCACTCTTAGATCCCATGGGAGTTGCCCTGAGAGCTAATTGTTAAAAAGAGCCTGGCACCTTCCCCATCTCTCTTATTTCTTCTCTCTTGACATGTCTGTATGTGCTGGCTCCTCTTCTTCTTCTGCCATATACCAGATACAGATGCTGGTGTCATGTCTGCAGAACTGTGAACCAAATAAACCTCTTTTCTTCATAAATTACCCAGCTTCAGGGATGCCTTAAAGCAACGCAAATGAACTAAGACAGTCCCGTATATCTGAAAGCGTCCTAAAATGCCATTTCACCCATAGCTTTGCCTTTTAGATGAACTACGATTTATGCAAGATAGGTGTTTGTTGTGTGTCCTAAAAGATTTTCAATCTCCCTTGCTGTGTTGTTCCTGGATCTTGAAATCATAACAGTCACTGAAACGTTGGAAGGAAGAAAACTTAGAATTATCTAGTCCAGTGATTTTCAAACTGTATTTTAGAAGAGGAACCCTATTTTGCAAAAAGAAATTTTATATAGAAGCCCAATATTTCCATTCCTAAATGTATGTCTATATAAATAGATACAGTTTGGAGAGAGGGAAGGAAGGAAGAGGGGGGAAAGACAGGCAGGCAGGCAGAAAGGATCTACGCTTGTTGATGATGTGAGAAAGGAAACTGCAGAGCCCGCCCCCCGTTGCAGGCTTTGTCTCAATCTCCCTGTTGGGCCATATTCCCCTCGCTGCCCTCTCCACCTGCCCTGCCTGCCCCATAGTGCCCTGTAATGCACCGCTGAGACTAGTAGCCTATGAACAAGTTGAAAGCCATCAGTTTGAATGACTATTTCCATTTAACAAAAGGAAACTAAGACTCGATGACTGAATCATATTGTTCTTTAGTATTCCAAATCCTTCCTGCAAAAAGTAAACTGTCTTCTTTTGTTTTTTATTAGATTGTTCTGTACAGCCTTCCCTGAAGTAATCTCATACAAGTCAGATTATCAGTGTTCAGTATACTCTTCTTATAGTTAAACCATCATCACTTAACTTTATTCATATAATTTTATTTCGACAAAATTATTTTTGAAAATATAAAAATGTCATAATCACTTCTTTCCTGTTAGATACAAAGTTTATTTTAAAAATCAACATTTATATTGACTTTTACCATCACATGTCTAAATTTAACTCATGTTTATTATGAAGACACAGAGGTGTATTAAAAGAGGATATCATTATACGTTGTCAAATAAAGCAAAGGTTTCCTTATCCAAATAGAGGGAATTTATGTGTGATTACTTCATATGAAGCAAAAACTATGTCTACCACAGAACAGACATGCAGTTATTGATCTAGAATTGGCATGATTACAAACTACTCTGCAATTCTTCCTCTTCCCAATTAAGGTGTCTCTCTTGAACTGATTGAAAGTTGTTTGATAAGTATACTTTTTTCAAGATGGTGTGCTCAGTTGGGGGTCTTTTTATTAAACTGAAATTCTCTCATTAGCTTTGACTAGCACCAGCTGCTGTATAAATTCTGGGTTGATGTAGACCCCCATTGGTGTTCCAGATATCGCAGGTGAATCTTTTTCTGCTTCCACAATCCTCAGCCATGCAGTATGAATAATTAACATCTGATAATGCAGAACAAAAAGGACTTTTATTAGAAGACATCACAATTCCACCTTAACTCCTCAGAACAGTGAACCAAATAGGACTTTAGTTGTTTAAAAGAAACCCTGTTTCTAAATATCTCTATATTATATTTTTGCCTATACCTGATCAGAAATGTTAACATTAAGACAGAGATTAAATGTTTTAGTCTTACACAAAATTAAAGACAATTCAAGCTGCAGCACATTTTAACTAATGTTTTTCTGAATGTTCTAATTCCAGATAAATTCAAAGCATTTAGGACTCATGTCTGCCATGATTATTCTTTCTTCTAAGTAGTTCACAGTCCATCACTTTTAAGAAAACCTTTCCTATTCATGAATCAAATATTATTTCTACAAGATGTATGATATAAGTACAGCACAAAACAGTTAAATGAAATGTCTTTATAGAGTTGAACTTAAAAACATCTACCTTGTGTGCGAGATGTGCCATGCAGGACTTTTCCTTAATGTATTTGACAGGTTTTAGCAGATAGATTTTTAAACTTGTCAAAGGACATGATAAACTTGAACCCATGAAACAATGCAAGACATTAAGATAAAACATACCATAATAGTATAGTGGCTAAGAGCAAAACGTTCTGGAGATCAACTTCCAAGCCTCAGTTTCTCCTTCTGTAAATGAAGATAACATTAATATCAGCATTATGACATTACTTGAAACACTAAGAGATCATGCATATGATAATTAGCACAGCACAGTGTACTTGTTCTCTATTTCTGCATAACTAATTACTGCATACTTTGCATACTTTGTGGCTCAAAATAACTGTTATCTTACAGTTTCTAGGTAAGGGCATGGCTTAGATGGGCCCTCTGCTTAGAGTCTCACAACACTGCAATCAAGGTATCACCTGGGCTGTGTTCTCATCTGGATACTTGACTGAGGAATAAACCCCTTTTAAGCTCACTCAGGTTATTGGCAGAATTCATTTCCATGCAGCTGTAAGACCAGGGATCCAGGTTTCTTTCTGACTGCTAGCTGGAGTCTACCCAGGGTTTCTCACTAGGAGATCTTCCCCAACATGACTGCTTACTTCATCAAACCAACAAGGAGAGTGTCTAGAGTGACTCTACTAGCAAGACAGAGGCTTATGTTATATAACATAATCACAGGAAGAACATCTCACCACTTTTGCCATATTCTGTTGGTCAGAAACAAGTCCCAGGTCCTGCCTACACACAAGAGTGAACACACCAGGAAGCAGGGATCATCGTTCGTCACCCTAGAGTTTGTGAGCCAAATATAGTAAATGAATGGATAAATGGAAGTGTGAGTGAATAAGTAAATGAGTAAGTGAATGAGTGAAGTTGGGTGTGATTTATAAGCCCCTTGGACAACAGAAAACATGGGAAATAGTTCTAAATACAGGATAAATAAGGTAATAGGCTCTAAGGTAACTACTCAATTGAAGTCATAACACAAGCATCAAACCTTTGTGAATATAATGCATTGAATAGTTATGGGGCCTGGGCTATAAGGCCTAGAGAATGTCAGAGTAAAATCTCAGGGATGGTGGGAAATAGAGACCCAAAAGAATATATAGGGCTTTTAGTCTCACTTTAAAGTGATAATTTTCTTACAAGTGGAGCAAATGAAGAAATTGGAAATTAAATAAAATAGTCAAATATAATTACATAAATTTTTAACTTCTAAGAGAAATAACTAACAATAAATACAAAAAAAGTTAACACAAATGAAAAATAGAATTATCAGCACCAAGTATATGAAAATTTATTCAAACATACGTGTGAACACTAACAATATTCCCAATGGATAAATGGGCAAAGGACATGATTATATGATTCATGGACAGGAAGTATGAATAGTAAAATAAATTTTAAAACAGTTTAATATGAATAGGGCAGAAGCCTCACAAAGAAAAAAACTTTAAGTACCAATCCAATCCATCTTATTTTACCAGCTGATTACTTTAAGATGAGAGGGTAAACAGTAAAATGAATTGCATTAGTATTATTTACCAAAACACCTGGCATAAGTTATAACTCACCCTGGATGGTTGGATATTCAATAATAATTAACTCTCAGTAGTCAGTGGTAGGAGAGCTAGTATGGATAACTGCAGTCACCAAATCATCAAATGATGATAGGGCCAAATTAATGCAAGGGAGCTAACATGGAAAAAAGCTATTTAGAACTCTTTCAATTTTACTTCTACCACTTTGGTAGCTGGAATACAGTAAACAGACCCCAGAAGAACGAGAAAACTAGGCAAACAGTCTGGATACTCCACAGGAAGATAATCTGCCTAAGAACGAAGTCAGCGTCGCTACTTTGATGAACATTTTGATGGCAACACCTCAGCCTCAGATGACCTCCTTCTTGGTGACAGCGTCATGGGATGCAGCAGGGCTGTATGGACTGTTCCTGGACTTGGCACATAAACAGCGACACAGGTGGGTATCCGCTTTCCCCTCTCCCTCAGGCCTGTTCTGGGTAGACAGGGAAAATCAGTTTTGGTGCTAGTGATGGTATGCCCGATATGTTTGTGTATGTGTGTCCTCAGGTCTCTTAAGGAGTAAGTTGTGACATGTCTCTTGTCGTGGCCAGGGATGGAAGGACCAACAATTAAATGAATAATAGTAAACACTCACTAAGTATTTGTTGTGGTTATTAATGTTGTTTTTACCTTCAGTGGGAAGGAGGCAAATAAAGATGTTTGTTCCTGGAATCTACATGGGTTCTCTTGTGATGTCAGAGAGGACAGGCACCCATGGGACAGCTGCAGCAGAGGCAGGAGGAGGAGGCCCACAAGGGAGCCCGGCACCTGTAGATGATGACAGACAGCAGGAGGTGGTATCTGGGAGGTCTGGGTTTTCGAACACAACTCCAGGCTGACTCACTGAGGGAGATCCAGTAAGCTCCTCAAACTAGTGCCACCTACCACCCCCACAGATTAAGGGCAGGATTCATTGGGGACCTGAGGCAAGGCTAGGGGACAGAAGATGATATGGAAAAGGGGAGTCAAGAGGGAAATGGAGAAGGAGGTTGGCGAGCCAAGTGAATACCTTTCTGTGGTCACAGTACTTTTCTGAGAGCAGCCATTTGTTATTATGCTCTGGAAGAGAGGAGGAAATACATAACAACAGAGACTCTCATAGAGAATGAGCAGATCACACATTTGTTCCTTCCATTTGTCCAGGTAAGATGTCTCAACTGGTCCCCACTTGTCTGCTCCCTTCCCCCATCTATAAAATAAATGTACTTTGGTCCTAATATTTGAAGGGCAATTACCCTAAACTCATTTGGAGGTCTATCCCTGGGGCATTTTCAATAGTTCTCGTCTGCATTTGGTGAATCTTCACATACATATATCTTCCTTGGAATGTAAATTTTTGGAATGAAGGGATCAGAGCTATATAGTTCTCTGAACAGTGAACTTATAACACTGTAAGCATTTAGGTGATTAGTATTTTTAAGATGAAGAAGATGTTCCTACTTATAAAATGAATGAGATTCATAAAGCCATACTTTTTTGTTGTAATATCAGGACTTGAAAAGTTAGTATTCTGCTGGTGAGTCAACAGTATCACTTCTAGTTCTTAATGTGAAACTAGCTTTTGTATTCCTCTTAAAATGCTTACCATTGTAATCCCACTTCTAGAAGCCTCAGGTAGGGAAATAATAAACAATGTGAACAAAGATTTATGTGTAAAGACATGAGCACTTAGATGCTTAATTATAGGAAAATGGTCAGATGAAGCTTGATACAGCTGTAAGATAAAATACCTAGCAGTTGGCTGGATGTCGTGGTTCACACCTGTAACCCCAGCACTTCCTGAGACAGGTGGATCATGAGGTCAAGAAATCAAGACCATCCTGGCAACATGGTGAAACCCCCTCTCTACTAAAAATGCAAAAATTAGCTGGGTGGTGTGTACCTGTAATCCCAGCTGCTTGGGAGGCTGAGGCAGGAGAATCACTTGAACCCAGGAGGCTGAGGTTACAGTGAGCCAATCTTGCACCACTGCGCTCCAGCCTGGGTGACAGAGCAAGACTCTGTCTCAAAGGCAAAAAAAAAAAAATCTAGCAGTTATCAAAATTATAGTTAATAATTTTAACAAGAAAATAGTTACGTTAAAATAGCAAATAAAAAAAAGAACATGCAGTATTTTTTAAATTATATTTTTCCAAAGCATAGAAATAATTGGAAAGAAACACACCAAAAGAGGGCGTAAGGAAGAGGGCTTGTACGGCAGAAAAATGTCTTAGAGGTGAGCAATGAGGAGACAAGATGTGTCAAACAGAATTAAGGAAAGGAAAATTCAGTTTTTTGAAAACTATGTGCAAGCAGTGAACTAAGCATTTAATAATTCTGGTTAATAGTTAAAGATAAGCATCGGAATAAGTCTATGAGGAGAAAAGAGCCTCTTGCCACAATGAACAGAAAGCTCCCATCTTGGCCTAGTTGAAAGAACGGAAAGCTAGGATACTCTGAAGTCTGAGTGAGTACATGAGATGACTCCGGTGTGGTTAGGAGCCCGTCACCTCTGCTGAGAAGCTAAACATGACAGTGAAAATGAGAGTACGTATTTGAGAAATGGGATTTGCTGAGGCCATATATGGGAAGAGGGGACAGGCAAGTCATGAGACCAGCCTCTACTAGTTTCTAAACCTAGATGCCCATCCAGAATTGCTTGGGTAATGTATGCAGCCTAAAAGGCACCAGCCAAAGTAACCGTATCAGGGCACAGATGAAACAAAATGAGGGAAGGGCAGTGCATAGAGAATGAAAGGAACTAACAATGGCACAGTCGCTACTCATTGCAGCCTTGAGCTCCTGGGCTCAAGTGATTCCCGTGCCTCAGCCTCCCAAGTAGCTGTGACTACAGGTGTGCACCAATGGTAATGGGTTGAGGAGCATATGGGCATGAGGAAATGACCCTGGGTGCTTAATCAGTTAGAGAATTTGGGCTTTGAAGGGGAGGACAGAGTAGGGGAATTTCCAGAGTACCTGGAAGAGGAGTAGGAGATGAAGAACATATTTAAGCATTGCTAAGATGAGTCAGTAGAAAGGTAAATGCTGCAAATGAAAGGGAGGAAATAATGAGGGGATTAAATGCAGAAACCCACACTTAGTATGGAACACTGTTGTGAGAGGATAAGTGAGTAAGCCCATGTAAAGCATTATGGTCTGCCAGGCGAGGTGGTTCACGTCTGTAATCTCAACACTTTGGGAGGCTGAGGCAGGCGGATTGCTTGCGCTCAGGAGTTCAAGACTAGCCTGGGCAACATGGCAAAACCCTGTCTCTGCAAAAAATACAAGCATCCCAGGTGCAGATTTCCATAGACTCGGTTCTGGTTCCTTGGAAAAAGAGAGAATGGTACATAAAAATCAGAAGACACATCTTCACCCAAGTCTCTGAGACTTTGGCAAGCCAGGCAATATTGCTTTGGAAATACCTGATGGAGAGAATAAATAGAAAGAGGCATTCATCTTCACTGTGGCATAAACTACTGAGCAGCATTGGCCCATCTGTGCTCTGGGGTACTGGTAGTAGTGTCAGACTTTTCTACTGACTCATCTTGGCAATGCTTAAATATGTTCTTCATCTCCTACTCCTCTTCCAGCTCCTCTGGAAATTCCCCTACTCTGTCCTCCCCTTCAAAGCCCAAATTCTCTAAGCACCCATGGTCATTTCCTCACGCCCACAACATGCTCCTCTCCTCATGCCCACAACATGCTCCTCAGCCCATTACCACTGGGCTCATGTGCCTACCTGCTTTCTAAAGCTGCTTTCACCAATGTTTCCAGGGGCCTCCTCATTGATAAAATTCATTGCATACTTTCCATTCCTTACCTTACATGACTTTTTGGCCACTTTAACCTCTGAGATCCAGTTTTAGAGTTAACATGGCTAGCTACTTAACGGACATCCCACAGCTTCATTAGACCTCAAATTCAGTATATTCTAAGCTTACCTCATCTTTTCAAAGCAACTCTCGTTCCACATTCTTATTTCAGCAAATAACACCATCACCAAAGCTGGTCTTCCTTCTTTCATTCACCCCCAAAATATACTTGGCCACTAAACCCCTATGCAATCTACCCCCAGCTGCCTCTCAGAGCTGATGTGTTCTCTTCTCCATCCCTGTAGTACTAGGCTCATGTCACCACTCCCTTGATAGCCTCATCACTGGACTTCCCTACCACCATCTCTCATCTGGTCCCTGGAATGCAGACCAGGGAATCTTTCTAAAACACAAGTCTGATTATGTCAGTCATCTACTTAAAAATTGTCCATGGTTTTCCACTATCCCTAAAATAAAGTCTCAACTTCTTAACATGGCTTAGAAGATCCTGTCCAAGTTTCATCTTCAACACATCCCCTTCCGCATGCCACACTCCAGCAATACTTCTTGCTGTTCCTCCAGTGTAAGAGTTCTCCTCTCTCTAGCTGTTTCCAGTGCTTGAAACAGATCTGACTTTTCTTCTTGCTAGGTTCTTCCACACCTTTAGACCTCAGCTTATGTCACTTCCCTTGGAAAGGTGTTCCCCAACCCCCAGTTCAGGTTAAGTATCCTTCTTCTGGGCATCCACTGTATTACAAATACCTTTAAAATGGCCTCTATTTAACCAGCTCGATACACGTAATTTCTTGTAAAGCACACTGACTACAGCCCTGCCATCCCCAAGGCTTAAAACTGATAAGCTGCTCTCTATACACCCATCTTACCACTGCTCTCACCAGGTGAATTCCATTTTTGCCTACCAAGAGTCAGATGTGCTTGATCTAAATTATTTTATAACAGTTTTACTTATTGTTGTAGCTATGTTATTTAAGGAAATCTTATGTAAATTCATAAAATATGAGTATAGAAAGTTGTTTCTATAATGTACAAAGACAAATGTAAGCTTCTAAAAGTTGCTCTCATTGATGTAAAGTTGTAAATGGAAATAAATCATTAAAAATCTAAAAAGATTCTGCTCTGACATAGATTTGTCAGTATCTATGTTCTTGCTCCAATTTAAATAAATTAAAATAGAAATAAAACGTGTATATATATTATGGATGTGTTTTATGTCAGAAAGATAACCTGGGACTTCAATTATTGGACATACATTTCAGGAAAAGTCCTTAGTCTTGCATCAAAAGATTGGCAAGATAATATACATTTTTTTTTTTTTTTTGAGATGGAGTCTTGCTCTGTTGCCCGGGATGAAGTGCAGTGGTGCAATCTCGGCTCACTGCAACCTCCATCTCCTGGGTTCAAGCAATTCTCCTGTCTCAGCCTACCAAGCAGCTGGAACTACAGATGCATGCCACCAGACCCAGCTAACTTTTTGTATTTTTAGTAGAGACGGGCTTTCACCATATTGACCAGGCTGGTGTCAAACTCCTGACCTCATGATCCACCCACCTCAGCCTCCCAAAGTGCTGGGATTATAGGCATGAGCCACCACACCCAGCCTATACATTTGTATTTTTTATTGAAATGAAATTCATATAACATACATACAATTAACGATTCAAAAGCCAATGGCATTTAGTGCATTCATGATGTGCCACCACCACCTCTGTCTAGTGTCAAAACTTGTTCATCATCCCAGAAGAATGCCCTGTGCTCTTAAGTTACCACTCCTCATTCCCCTGCTGCCCTGTCTTCTGGCAACCTCTAATCTGCTTTAAATTGAAATAGAACATTTAAGGCATGTCGATAACATTTTTAATGACCCCCTACTTTGCTGACTGTTTCGACGAGTCTATTAACTATTATCATCCAAGTTGGGTGAGTGGGCATCTGCACATCTGATTTCCTTTCAGCTGTGTATTAAAATCATTCCTTTAGCTACCTCCCCTGCCTCCCAGACATTGCACGCTTTGCAGGCAGGGGCATGTTCGAGCTGTTTATCCATGGGTCTGTAGTACCTGGCACAATGCCTGGTATACCGTGGGCTCCATATTTGTAGGGTTAATTCAGATTACCCAGAAATTAAGCAATATATCCAAGGACATTAATGGTGAATCACAATTTAAGCCTAAGTCTCTCTCACAGCACACTAAGCAGAAAATGAGACCTGTCTGGGAGGTGAATTGAGGCAGCAGTCATATTAGA